CGCCCCTACAAAGCCAAATATATTTTAAGGCAGCTCCAAATAACAATAAACCATGTCATCAGCATATGGAATATTTTTCTGAGTCTGCCCGCAATACATCCAAAAGGTTTTACCCTACTGGCTTGAAACAGAAGGCTGATAGAACGCACTGCTGTTTCACTTGCCTGGAAATTTGCTAATGAATGATTTAATTTACTAGGAAATCATTTCCAACTCTAATTTTGGAGGTAATATTAAGGATATGTTCTGGGTATCAATAACCAAGAGTCCTAATCAGACTCAGAGTTAAAAGAAAACACTGGAGTAAATCTTCATGATCTTATGTTAGGCAATGACACCAGAAGCACAATCAATAAAAGAAAAAAATTGATAAACTGGACTTCATTAAACTCTTGTGCTTCAAACAATACCATCAAGAAAGTGAAAAGACAACTTACAGAATGGGAGAAAACATTTGTAAATGGTGCTTTTGATGAGAGTATCGTATTCAGATTACATAAATAACTCCTACAACTCACTGATAACAACCTAGAACAAAGGATGTAATAGACACTTCTAAGAAGACATGCAAATAGCCAATAAGCACATGAAAAGATCCACACCGTCATTAACCCTTAGGAAAATGTAAATGAAAACCAGAGAGACTTCACATGCTGTAATCAGAGACAGCAGGTGTTGGGAAAGAGGAACCCTCCTGTACTGCTAATGGGAAAGTAAAATGGTGCAACCACTTTGGAAAAGTTTGGCAATGCCTCAAAAAGTTAAACATAGAGGTAACATATAACCCAGCAGTTCCATTTTGAGGTATATACTCAAGAGAAAGGAACACAGGTCAACACAAAAACCTGAACACAAAATGTTCACAGCAACATTATTCATAATAGCCCCAAAGTGGAAACAACCCAAATGTCAACTGATGAATAAATACAGGACATACATATCATAGACTATTATCCGGCAATACAAAGGAAGAAGTACTCATGCTTGATACATGAAGGAAACTTAAAAACATAAAACGTGAAAGAAACCAGTCACCAAAGACCAAATAATGTATGATTTCATTTGTGAAATGTCTAGATAAGGCACATCTACAGAGATAGAAAGTGGATTAGTGGCTGCTTAGGGTCAGGGGATTGGGGAAGGAACAAGGAGAGACTGCTAACGGTGCAGCATTTCTTTTTTATGGTGATGAAAATGTTCTGGAAATAGTGGCATGGTTTTAGAGAATATACCAAAAGCCACTGACATTTATACTTTAAATCAGTTAATTGTGTGGTGTGTGAATTATATCTCAAAGCTGCTAAAAATAAAGAATAGTAAAGTATGTATTTTCTTTAAACACTAAGATAACAGGAGTATACAAAGTCTGATTAAAGTGGTACTTACTGCTACTTTGTTCTTGAAAAAAACTACTAGAGAATACTGCAATCATTTTAACTAGTATAAATAATGTAACAATAACAATTTGGATGCTGTATTTATACCTACAAATATGCTTTACTAAAAGTAGAAACTAATGCAGTGTGACAATTCTGTATTTGATAAATTTCAAATCAAATGTTAGCAATATTTTCAACCAACTTCCTCTAGTCTTCAATTCTTGATAAATTAAAATGACAGGGTTATCATGCCAACCAATTGTATATATGAGTATACTGTTGTAAAAATTTTCAATTAGTGCAGATGCCAAGTATAACGTAATTTTTAAGAAATTTGACTTGATATTTAAGAGAATGCCACTGATAATAACCTTTACAAAAATGTACCTTTAAAGTTTAGAATGGCTGCTTCGGTGGCTTAGGCTCTGTTGTTTGCCCCACTCCCTCAGCTTGGTGGCTCTGCTCATCTTATGGGTCCGGGAGTTCTGAGTCTCCTGGCCATGGCCAGGTTTCCTGGGCTGATGGCTCCCTCCTCAGCCTGGAGGCCTTGTCTGTTTCCTCCCATTCCCAGTTCTCCCCTCTCTCTGCCCCTCCCTGTTTGGTGTCTGTCTCTCTCTTCTGGTCCAAAATAACAAACGCTGGAAAAAAAAAAAAGTTTAGAATACCCAACATTAAATCTATGGAGCCTGACAGAACAGATAATTAATAAATGATCTAAAATAAAGTTATATTTTTTATTTGAGAGAGCAAGCACACGTACAAGCAAGGGAAAGGCAGAGAGTGGGAGAGAGAGAATCCCAAGCAGGCTCCACCCTGTCAGCCTGCAGCCACACAGAATCCTATAAATTGTGTGTGAGATCATGATCTGGGCCCAAATCAGAGTCAGACGCTCAACCAACTGGGCCACCCAGGTGCCCCAAGGCTTTCTTTCAAAACTAAGTTATTTTAGGGGTACCCGAGTGGCCCTTGATTTTTGGCCCAGGTTATGATCTCATGGTTCCAGGGTTCGAGCACTTTGTCGGGCTGAGTGTGGGGCCTGCCTGAGATTCTCTCACTCCCGCTCTTCCTCTGCTCCTCTCCCCTGCTGGCGCACAATCTAAAAATAAGAATTAAAACAAATAAAAAATAAAGCCTTAAAATTACCATCAATAAATTTCATGCATTTTAATCCTAGACTTCACTCTTAAGTTTTATTTATCTTGTAAAATGTATAGCAATCTAATACGTGTGGATGTGCAAATCATTGCTATTATATGCTTTAAAGATACAACAAGTATTTGAGAACAAAATTAGCCTATCTGAGAGAAAAGAGTGTGGCTAAAGTACTAGAACCTTTCAAGAATCATTAGGTATACAATTGAATACTTATAATTGAATATTAAAATTCAATATAAGAATTTCAGCATGAAGGTAATAAAGATATAGAAACAAAATGACTTTAACTATGGACATTTTATGTACTGTAATAAGGTGTATTCAATTTAATATTTTTGGTTGACATCTATGGAATCTTGCTTCCTTTACATCAAAAGTTACCAATTTGGTTAATGTACTGTAGGTAAAGTCCAAGTAAATTTTATTCAAGAGGAATGGCATGAGAAATAGGCACCAAAGATTTACAGAAGCTTTAAACATTACAGAACAAATTCTGGAAGGAAATACATCTTGGATTCCATTTTGCATGTAAACTCTATTAAAAGGAGGGAAATTCTGTTTACTGCTGTCCCAAGTGCTTAGAACAATGCCTGGCACATAAAAAGTACCCCACAGCTACTGAAAGAGGTAAAATATGCAGAATATCATTACCTTAGAAAGGGAGAAAAATCTTCAAGTCACAGTATGCAAGAAACAGAGAGTTAAGTTGTAAAATATTTTTTATTGTAAAAACAGAGTCAACAAAGGTTGACAATGCAAATGTCATCCCAGATTTCCCCTTGGTTCTTGAATTTGCTGGGTTCCTATGTACCAGAAAGTCTCCATTAGCACTTCTCAGGCTTCATGGTCTTTTTGAGATATGTTGATTAATTATACTGCAATTATACTGTATATATTGCTTGGAAACAAATGTCCATATGATATTAAAACAAACAAAAAAAACTGTTGTGGCTTTGTTTCACATTTCCTATAGGGAAATCTATGTATCTCAGATGCTTTCACAATCTAACAGTAAAGTTAGTGCCTTAACCAAACCCAAAAATTCTCCGTCACATTACTGAATCAAACAGTCATGACATCTGCAATATATCCAGATTTAAATATTTAAAAACACAGAAGTTTGGAATTTAAAATAAACTTTAGGCTGATTTCTTCATATTTGAAAGACTGTAGTTATTTGCAGCATACAAATGGAGAGAATAGTGCAAAATGCATCAAGTTTTATATGATAAATATACTTTCAACCTAAATGGCTGCCTCAAAAGCAAAAAGTGAAAAATTGCTAATTCTCAAAAGCAATCTAGGCTGACTCAATGAAGTTTACAATTTAGAAAGATCAACTGCTACTCTATTTCTATAGACTGCAAAATGATTTCAGAAACAGATTAACATATAATTGTTTTACAAAAATAGAAGTATCATTTGGGACTTTACAAAACTTTATAAAATATAACACTATATTTGCAAATTCAAGATAGTTTCACACTGAAATAGACAATACTTCCACCAATATAAGTCTAGTCAAACTTAACTGGTCCGTCTTCATCATTCTTACACATTATTTCTTCCAAGTCTTCAACCCAAGTAGATCTATGCTCTATCGTGGGATTTTTTTTTTTTTAAAGAGATTGTTTAATTTCAAAAGTTTTGTAAGATTTTTCATTCTAGAAATAATGTTAAAGCAGATGAATTTATACCTACAAATATGCTTTACTAAAAGTAGAAACTAATGCAGTGTGACAATTTCAAATCAAATCCCTAAGAATGACAACCTATTAATTTAAAATATATATTTGACAATTTGGTACCTATAAAACATAAAAATATAATCACAACTATTTTATGGAAAAATATTCATATAGAATGAAGAAGCTCTAAATTTAGTTATTTTTAGCTTGCAGATGAGAAGTATTTTCTAATTATACCCATTCATAAATACTCATTTTATCACCTCAAAGAGCACCAGTGTATTTTCAAAACAAACTAAAAGTGAGAAGGTAGGGGCTTATTTCATTTAACAGTGCTATTATGATAAGGCACCACTTGGTATACGAAAAAGCCGAACAAAGTATTTTCAAATCACGTTTTTTTGTTACTGGTGTCTTAACCATTACATAGAATGGTTAGGAAAAAAGCTAATAATATTAGCTAACTGCGTTATACAACTTTTTCCATCATTTTTTGCTTTTAGTATTTCCATATAACAGAACATATAGTAAACATCAATGTAATACATGATCTGTTAAAAAAAAATCTTTTCTCAACCTTCCAACAAAATAATCTAAAATTAAACAAGAATAAGAAACCAAAAATTTATCTGGTAGATTTGCAAAAGTCTATCCCTGTAGAAGAGCGGGGAGTTGGGTGGGGGTGGGGGGACAAAATGACAGGACCTATTTTCTATAGAATATATCGAGGCACATAGGTTAAAAGATTCTCAGGCAAATTCACGGCTAGAGCAAAACTGAGAGAAAGCTCAGAATTCTATGTTCTCCCAGAGCTGATTTCTCAGGTAGTCACACCCAATTAAATATTTCAAAATATGTCCTTAGTCACTGCTATCATCATCATCATCATCATCAGATACATCATTTAAAGGAGACTTCAATGATTGACTGTAAGAGTCTGATCTAGTAGGCTGGCACGTGGCCATGTCCCCGGTGGAAAGCAGGTCATAGCAGAAGTCACAAATCCGCACAGGCTTAGAGGACTGGCTTGGAAGAAGAAATCTCTTTTCAGAGCAGGGCCCACAGACAACAAAACCACATTTGCGGCAATGGTGACGACGATTAACAGGTGTGAATTTTGCTTTCTGACAACGCATACATACAGTTGCCTCAGAGTCAGGAACCCAGACAGCAGCATGTTCATTACTGGGTGTCTTCCCACTTTTGGAGAGTAAGTCAGTAACACATTTATTTATGTGATTCATCCATTCTGATTTCTCAGTGGCAGTGGCAGCATAAACTGCAAATGATTTAGTTGGTGTCTTGATAAGCCATCCATTCCTTAAGTCTCCCTCATCTTTGATGGAATCAATAGTGACATTTTCCAGGGGAATAATATGTTGTTTGTTATATTTTTTCTTCTGGATGACAATATTGCCATATACAAGAATATCATTAAATAAGAAAAACTGCCTTGCTTTGGGCTTTTTTCTGCACAACTTAGTCAATACTCCTTCTCCAATAAGAACCCTTCCTGGTATAGTTAAGGGTTGACCAGCTGCTCCAAAACAGTTTTCTACTATATTTATACGTCTAGTATTTGCTTCACTGTTTGCCAAGCGATCCACCATCTTCTGCTAGTAGCCTTTGGGGGGAAAAAAAAAAAAGAAGAAAAAATTAGCACACAGAAATTGGAAATTCATGTAAGTTAAAGATTATATAACCTAAATTTAACAAATCCATACTTTTACTTATAGGCAAAATACTCCAACAAAATTGTTTCCCTCTAAGAAAATCACAAAGCATACAAAAAAGGTTAACCATCTCAATATAGCACAATACTACTGACTTAGGTACTTATAAAAAGCATAAACTTCTTACAGACATAAAGGATAAGCAACTGGATGATAAATAGAAGTCCTCTCTGCAAAATAATAATCCCAGTCCCATGAAATTTAATCTCAGAGGGGTTCTGAAGAAGAGGACCAAATTCTGTAAAAACTAAGAGAAATTAATTAAGCTATTACCATTGAGCTAAGGCCTTATTCCTCTCATCTGGATTACCAGACTGTCTCCTGATGTGTCTCCTTGCCTTTGGTCTTGCCCCATAAATCAATCTTCAGGCAGTGATTTCTCAAATGCAAATCTCACCATGTCATTATTCAAAAGAACTCCCTTTGATCTACAAAATGCAGAATTTTTAGCATAGCATATAAGGCTGTTCATTATCTTGTTCTTGCTTACCCTCTTAGACTCATCAGAAGTCACTCTTCACCTCAAACTTCTTCTAAGAATATCCTACTATTTACAGTCCATTTCATCACATGTACCTTCTCTTATGCTGTCGTATATCCTTTAATACTTACTACTCACAGCTAACTCTTACTGATCCTTCAAGACTCAGTTTAGGTTATATCTAATTCAGGAGTCTCCCTTAAACTCTATTAGACTAAATACATTCCTCTATGCTCTTTACATTCCATGTACCTTTTGGTTTCATTCTTACCAAAGGATGAAATCTGTCTCCTTCAAAGGCTGCAATGGAACCTAAAAGACAGAGGCTATCTGATCTTTATCTCCGAAAATGACACCCTCCAGCACAGCAAAGGTGCTCAAAAATGTTGACAAGAACATTTTGGTATTTCATATTAATCTAATCTTAAATGACCATAGATTTAATCTCTAGATCCAATACTGACTTCATTCAAGTCCTTGAGTTGTGCCCTATTTCAAACTTACTAACCTAATACTACCATCACCAAGTCATATTAAAGAGGAGCATTTAAAGTTTAAAGATTAAGAACACAGTCTAATTTCCAGTATTCAGTTCATAAACTGACGATACTGTACTCCTTTTTTGGTCTCCATTACAAAGATTCTGATTATTCCTGAATTTGTCTCTCCTCCAATTTTCGGTCCTTATAAAGCTCTCTTGCCCTCCACAAGGGTAGGCTCTGCCCTTAAAGTTGTTCCAAAGAATTTATATGATAATGCATGGCTCCAAACTGTGAGGACTTCTTTTTCTAATTGCAGCAAATGTGCCAACCAATTAAAGGTCTACTGTTCTATGCACAGTGCGTCACAGGAGAGGAAATAAAAACACCTCATTAACACTAAAAGAGTCTCAATCTCATTCATAATTCAAGGATATACAACATTAGGATATTTTTTACTAATCCGATTAACACAAATTTTTTAAATTTCCTAAGATGAAGTACTACTGAGGATACAGGGAAACAGGCATTCTTGTACACTACAGAAAATATGTATACTCACTGATCTAAGTATTTTATCAAAAGAAATTCCAGTCGAGTGCATAAACATATGTGCAAGTATATCCAACATAGCACTGTTTGTAACACACACAAAAAAGTTGGAGAAGCTCCAAATGTCCACAAGAGAAACTGGCTGAACAATTTATGATACACCCATAATAATATGCTAAGTATATGTTAATAATGAGATAGGTCTAAACATAGTGATATGGGAAAATGCTCAAGATATTTAGGTGGGGAAAGAGTTGAATGTCATAATCTCATTTGTTTCAAATATATACTGTGTTTCATCAAATCTAAGATACTATAAGACACATCCTCATTTTATGTGCCACTGAAAATGAAAATGCTGACAATTACATCATGGCATAGCCCTGATTATATGACACCCCAAATTGAGACATCAGTAAAACATGTTCATCTTTACACACAGTGAAATATGGTTTAACATATAATCATAGGCACTTATAAATATGTAAGCACACACATAGAAAATAAAACTAGAAAACTATATAATGTCAACAATGGTTACTTATCTCTAAGAAGTACAATTATAGATAATTTTCATACTTTACACTATCTTCAAACATTCAACAAGTATTTATTTTGTTAATCACTGATCTAGGTACAGGAGAAAAAATAATACACAACACATGCAATGTCCTTGCTCAAGGCTTACATCCTAGCTGGTGAGAAGGGAAACAGAAAACAAAATCGAGAACCAAGTTGTAAATTAATGTACTGATTTTTTAAAGTGATTTTTTTTTTTTAATTTTTTTTTTTTCAACATTTATTTATTTTTCGGACAGAGAGAGACAGAGCATGAACGGGGGAGGGGCAGAGAGAGAGGGAGACACAGAATCGGAAACAGGCTCCAGGCTCCAAGCCATCAGCCCAGAGCCTGACGCGGGGCTCGAACTCACGGACCGCGAGATCGTGACCTGGCTGAAGTCGGACGCTCAACTGACTGCGCCACCCAGGCGCCCCTTTTTAAAGTGGTTTTTAAAAAAATGTTTATTTTTGAGAAAGACAAAGACAGCGTGAGCAGGGAAGGGTAAAAGAGAGAGGGAGACAAAGTAGGCTCCAGTCTCCATGCTGTCAGCAGAGAGCCCAACGCAGGGCTTGAACTCACCAACCATGAGATCATGACCTGAGCTGAAGTCGGATGCTTAACCGGCTGAGCCACCCAGGAACCCCTTAAAGTGATTTTTGAAAAAACAACTAAGAAGCTACTCAGACTAGATGGTCAGGGAAGGCCTTTCTAAAGTGGTATTCTTTCAGCTGATAAGGAGGAACTAGATACACAGACATGAGGCGTGGAGATAGAGAAGTATATTTCAAGCAAAAGAAGTAACTGAAGGTCCTAAGGCAGAAGAGACTGGTGCTTTTAGAGAACTGAAAGTATCTATTTATTCCCATCTAAATCAACTGCAGATTTTACCTCTTTGGACATACAGATATTAATCAGCTCAAATGCAGTGCAAACAGGTTTCCTATTATTGCTACTACTGGAATTAATACCATCCAAATTTGTGCAATACTTTTTACATTCATTATTTTCTGACTTTAATGGTCTCAAATTCCTGTGAAGTAATTAAACAAGTTTTTACATCTTCCAAAGAAGCATCTAATAATATTTGCTGAAATGTGAGCTGAAGGAGAAACTAAGGCACAAAGACAGACATTCAATAATGTCTAAGGCAAAACAGCCTGGAAGTTATTCTACTCATTGGGAGTCCAAGCACCCAGCTGAGCATTGCATGCCTTACTGTATATCCTACTCAGGGCAACCTTACAATAGAAATGCACTATTAGCTCCATTTTATAGATGGGTAAACAGATATAAAGGAGTTAAGAATGCTGTCCAAGGCTGTCACAGAACTGGGGCTCCATTGTGTTTCCTCTGTGCTGTTACCAGTATATTATGGTACACTAATTATTCCTTAAGGCTCCATTGATTCTACAAGAATTAAGAAAGCTATTGCTAACCTTTGGACCTTCACTGCAAACCCTAAAAAAAAGAAAGAAAAGAATACCAACTGGAGAAAAAATAACCTGAAAGGACAAGTCATCATACTTTATTTAGCCAGTCTCCTGAATGGATCATTCTTCAAATTTTACAATTTTAAGCCTGAATCTCTGTTCATAAATCTTGCCCCATTTAAGAATGAAGAAACAAAAGAGATGTTTGGGCATCATTAATTGATATTTGGCTAGAACAAATAGCTTTCAAAGTTTGACAGTGACCCACATAAAAAATACATTTCATACTGCAGGATTACAAATACATACTCATAATTCTTCCAAATATAAATAATGTATTCTGTTATCTTCATTTATTTTAATGATAGTTGCAGGCCCACTTGATTGAGTTCACTAATGGATTGTGACCTATATTTGAACAACAATGAACATAAAGATCTCTCCATTATCCCTGTTGGTCCTAAAATATTTCTGTATGGACATGAAGAAGGACATGAAGAAGGGAAGCACTGAGCTAAAAAACCCAGGAATACACAAATGCCCTGTGTGCACAAGCACACACACAATACAGAAGTAGTTGGGTATCCAGCAGGGACAGCACATAGAGGGATGGGAGAATAGGGGGAAGTCACCAAAGGCAAAATCAAAGTACCACTTTTAGCTGGATTACTGCTAGGTACCCCAAAGCAAGGTTCTTTGGTAAACTGGATTAGGGTACTACCCTTTCACTCAGGGCCTAAACAGGGCCTCTGCCTTCCCCCAAAGGCCAAATTCAAATTTACCAAGAGCACAATGAGGTGCCTCAAGCAGTAAGAACTCTTAAAGACTTTTGTGAGAATATAGAATGTAAGATTACTCAGCCAGCCAAGGAAGGAGTCCTTTGCATAACTTACTCAATGAGGGGCACAGAAAAAGAAGACAACTCTAAGACGTGGCCTAATTAAATTTTTATCTACTTTTCTTAGGAAGGAATACCACTGACTATAGGAAGAGTTAGGAAGAAAGCTTCCCCATCCTCTGGCAGAGATGATTTCTTTAGAACAGTTTCCAAGAAATAAAATTACTTGGTCAAAAGGCATGAATATTTAAGGCTGTTACCTTTTACAAAATTTCCATTCTGAGAGGTAACACCGATTTACCAAGCAGCACAATGACTGTACATACCTAATCTTGTCTCACATATTTTTCCTCAAAAATGTCAGCAAACTAGATACCAAAAATGGCATGTCACTCTATTACTTTCATTTACTTTTTTTATTTAACATTTATTGAACACTTTTTAGATGGCATTCTTATTCTCCTCTCAGAGCAGAGTCTACTGAAGGAGAAAGGCAGTAAACGATTCTGAAAGGTGAAGTGCAATGAAGGAAATCAGCAGGGTGTCAAG